CCTGGCGCTGCCGCATCTTCTCCACCACGCCAGCCGTGCGCTTCTCCCACCGGCGCCGCCGCTGCGCCCTGCGCTTCTCCTTGCGCTTCAGGGCCTCCTGCAGCAGGCGCTCGTCGTCCCGGACCTTCACGCCCTCCGCCTTGTACAGGAGGCTGGTCCACTTCATCTTGGCCTCCAGCTCCCGCGCCTTCCCCTCGTCCTGGCCGCGCAGCTCGTCCAGCCGGCTCTGCCGCGCCCGCAGGCGCTCCAGCAGCTGCCGGTAGTTCCTCCCGGTCAGCGGCGCGAGGTTCCCCTTCACCCTCCGCCTCTTCTCCTTCCTGCGCTGCGCCCTGCTGGCCGGCTCGTCTTCACGCACCTCCACCTGGGAAGGCGACACGACGGCAGCTCTCGCCAGCCCCGCACCCCATGGGCCCTGCGCTGTCCCTGTCGCCACCTTACAGACGTCATGGGGTCTGTGGGGAGGTCACGAAGCTAACAAAGGGCAAGGCTGAGGCCCGAGGCGGACCCGGCCACCCGGGGCCCGGGCTTCCACTCACCTTATTGAAGATCAGCCCCGCCGGCTCCCGAGGCGCCCCGACGGCCCCCTCCGGGACCGGCTCCACGGGCTCCTGGGCCTCCGCGGCCTCCTCGGCCTTCCTGGCCTTCTCTTTCGCCCGCAGCTCCTTTCGCTTCCTCTTCTTCCGGTCCCGTTCCTGCTTTCTCCGCTGCCTTTTCTCCAGGGCAGCAGGGGACAGCTCCGCGGCACTGCCCTGTGGGAAACAGGCGCTGGCTCATCAAAGTTCTCTGGACCCCGGGGTCCCCAAGCCTGGCCCATGGTCGACAAGAATCAGGGCTGGAAGACAGGTGAGGAAATCCTCACGCCGAACAAGGGGCCCACTGAGTTCAGAGTTCCACAGCGGGAATGGTGCTCCCCAAAATGCAAATGACCCCAAAAGGGAGAAGGGACCCCCAAAATTAAGAATCACAGCTGCCAACGGCCGGGCGTGGTGGCTCAAGCCTGTAATCCCAGCACTTTGGGAGGCCGAGGCGGGTGGATCACGAGGTCGAGAGATCGAGACCATCCTGGTCAACATGGTGAAACCCCGTCTCTACTAAAAATACAAAAAAAAAAAAAAAAAAAAAAAAAAAAAAGAATCACAGCTGCCAATTCCCAGGCAGTTATCAAGTGCCGGGATACGTTACGAACATGGTTTCACCTGTCACACAGCGTTTTATGGATGAGGAGGGTCGAGACCACTGCCTAGAACTCTGGGAGTTGGGGACTGAACACCCAGGCACCTGTCCCGACTCCTACCCGCTCTGCTCATGAGCTTCCCAAACGAAGCTCTCCCCAGTGGCCTTTCTCCTCCCCAGGCCAACAAGAGCACTACACCAGCCTGAAGGAGACCTGCGCTACGAGAATGGGGGCCGCGAGCCTCTCGGGAACCACACACCGCACCTCGGGATGGCAGAGGAGAGAAGTGGGGACTGTCCCCACACAGCACGAGGCTTTAAGGAAGGGCCCCAGGGAAAGGGTGGGTACGGCGGGCACCACCATTCAGCACAAAGAGCTGCACTGGCACTCCGTGTGCCTGGCCACTCAGCTCAGGTCCCTCTCAACTCACAGGACTATCGCGGCATGCAGAGAAACAGACACGGGAGGGGCCCATCGCAGTGTCGTGCTCAGCAAAGGTAGCCTCCCAGAAGGAAGGAGGCTGATGACGCTAGGGACTGAGGTTCTCCAAGAAACGAGCAACTGCTCTCCCCGGGCCCAGCTGTGGGGCCCAGGCAGGGTCACTGCAGAGGGAGAACAGGGCTGCAGCTCCTGCTGACAGCCGACCCCAGGGAGAACACAGGCAGGGCAGAGACAGCGCTCCAGCACGCCTGCCCGCCTACCTGGCCCCGGGCCTCCTGGATCTTCTCATGCAGTCGCTGTCGCAGAACATCCAGGGCAAACAGAGACTCAGGCTGTGTGGCCGGGCCACCTGCAGGGAAGGAGCCAGGACTGCAGGGGGCGCTCTCTCGCCCTTCCTTCCCTCCCTAGGGCCCAGCACCCCTGTCCCACTGCGGCCACTCATGGATCTGCAGGACAATTCCCGTAAATTCTACGCCACCGCTTCCACCTGGACTGGTTCCTACAGCATCCTCCAGGATAGGAAACTGAGCGCCTCTCCAGGTAGGTCAATGTGCGGAGAAAACACTTCCTAGGGCACAAGCCAAACACCTCCTCCAAATTCTGCAGCCTGGGCCCCTGAACAAGTTGGCTCTCACGACACCCCTGCAGAGACCCGAGGGCAGTGCAGCTCTTCAAGCCAAGCTGCTCCAGGTGCTCAGAGAGACACAACGTCACCCCCTGCCATTCTGCTCGCCATGTGGCTTGGAACACCATACAGTTCCTTCGGTCCCATCCACGCTAGTGCGCCTGTGAGCTTCTCTTGGGGAAATCTCCTGCTATCCCTGTGGGCCTCAGGCTGCTTTTTTTTTTTTTTTATTTTTTAAGAGCAGAGGGGACCAAGCCCAAGCCAGCCCTGCCCTGCACAGAACCAACACGGCCTGAAGCCTCTCACCTGCGGGGGTCTGTGCTGAGCTGGAAGCTGAAACTGCTTCCCCTTGGTCGGCCTCAGGCTTCCTGGCCCCAGAGGCTGCGGGCGACTTCTCCCCCAAGGACTTGGCCTTGCGCTCGGCAGCCTTTTCTTCTCGCTCCCGGAATTTCTTTTGTGTTTTCTTCCTTTTCTTTTTCGGGGGCCCTGCAGTTTCTGGGCCTTGAGTTTTGCCAGCTAAAATGTAAAATGCGAAAGAGTCGCTGTCACAACCCTGTGGCACATTCAACAGGCAAGAAAGGCTCACCAAGGCCTTGATCCCAGTAGGAGGCAGAAAGAGGATCAGGACTAGGGGCCAGAGACACTGAGCGGAGGTCGAGGGGGGCGGATCACTCGAGTCCAGAAGTTCAAGACCAGCCTGGGCAACAAGGCGAAACCCCGTCTCCACTAAAAATACAAAAATCAGCCAGGCGTGGTGGAGTGCGCCTGTATTCCCGGCTACTCGGGAGGCTGAGGCAGAATTGCTTGAACCCGGGAGTCGGAGGCTGCAATGAGCCCAGATCGCGCCACTACACTCCAGCCTGGGCGGCAGAGCGAGATTCTGTCTCAAAAAAAGAAAAAAAAAAAAAAAGAAAGAAAATGGCGGTAGTTTCACATGTCACGGAGATTTTTTTCTAGTACTTCACAGACCCGACTACACGGACCGCGGCCGCGTCCCCCCTTCGCAGCCCCCCGAGTCCCGGCCCTGCGCATTACCCCGCGTGCGCGCCTGCGGCTGCGGGCCCGGCCGGGCGCAGATCTTCCTGGCCAGGCTCTGCAGGTAGGCGTCCTTGGCGAGCAGCGAGGCCATCGCGGAGGTCCGGGCAGTCCGCGACTCACACCGTCCCCGCGGCGGCGGCGGCCACCCTCCCCACCCCCGCCGGAAACCACCGCACGTGCAGGCGCCGCCAGACGAGCGCCGAGCCGCCAGCCCGCGCGCTCGATTAGTCAGGCCTGGCTCCTCCGGAAGCGGCGCGCGGGGCGGGCGCACAGCATTGTGGGCCGAGGGCAGCCGACCTCCGCCCGGAGTCGCTACAGCCCGAGATCCCGATTTCCGGCCTCGGGGGCTCCACCTCCTGGGCCCCTCACGTGTCCCTGCGCCCCCCTCACCCCCACCCCTGGCACAGCAGGCGCGCTGCAGTAGGGGCGAAATAAATGAATGACCGCCAGTATATTCATTCATTCCTTAAGGGGCCTCAGGTCTCCGGCGGACGCGGACTGAACGCCTGACACGTGGCAGGCCTTAGGTTCAGTCCCACCGGACACAAGCCGTGTGTCACACACAGGTGTTCTCGGCCAGTGTCTGCCCTATAGGTAACTGATAAGCCGGGCGAGCGTGGGATCGTCAGGTGAGGGGAGCGGCCGGGAAAGCCCCAGGGGGAAAGGGAGAAGGGTTGGCTGGGAGGGAGCCAGCCTGTTCAAGGAAGACCCTGGGCAATGTTTTGCTCAGAAAAATATTACTACACACCACTATTTTTATCACAGGACCAGGCCTTTATAAGAACTCACCTGGGGCAGGAGAAAAGAGAAGTCATGGCCTGAGGCTTGGGACCCCCCATACCCCAATTCCTGCACAGGAAAATTACAGGCTCGTTAAGGACCCAGAGCCCCTTCCAGGGCAACCCTGTTGGTGAAGGGAGAACTTGGAAGTCTTAAATTACAATTGAAAAGGTGGCTGCTAATATATGTATATTAGAAACAGTGAGAACTAAACTTCCTTTCCCTAACTTCTTCCATGAGGCCAGTTAAAAAATGGTTTTGGGGCCAGGCGCATTGGCTCACGCCTGTAATCCCAGCACTTTGGGAGGCCGAGGCGGGTGGATCACGAGGTCAAGAGATCGAGACCATCCTTCTCAACATGGTGAAACCCCGTCTCTACTAAAAATACAAAAAATTAGCTGGGCATGGTGGCGCGTGCGTGTAATCCCAGCTACTCAGGAGGCTGAGGCAGGAGAATTGCCTGAACCCAGGAGGCGGAGGTTGCGGTGAGCCAAGATCGCGCCATTGCACTCCAGCCTGGGTAACAAGAACGAAACTGTCTCAAGAAAAAAACAAATTGTAGCCGGGCGCGGTGGCTCAAGCCTGTAATCCCAGCACTTTGGGAGGCCGAGGCGGGTGGATCATGAGGTCAAGAGATCGAGACCATCTTGGTCAACATGGTGAAACCCCGTCTCTACTAAAAATACAAAAAAAAATAGCTGGGCATGGTGGTGCGTGCCTGTAATCCCAGCTACTCAGGAGGCTGAGGCAGGAGAATTGCCTGAACCCAGGAGGCGGAGGTTGCGGTGAGCCGAGATCGCGCCATTGCACTCCAGCCTGGGTAACAAGAGCGAAACTCCGTCTCAAAAAAAAAAAAAAAAAGAAAAAGAAAAAGCTTGGGCTAAAAGAGTAGCATAGACTGGGGACTGGCCAGGGCTTAGCAACGTCGAGGCCGCTGGTGACCCTAATAGGTGTAGTTTTGCTCGAGTCGTGGACACAAAACCTGTCTGACGTAGGCTTGAGAGAACTGCAGATAGACATGTCAGCTGCTTCCCCGTGGAGCTCTGCTCCCAAGGGCCACGAGCTGGAGAGGAAAAGGGTCAGGAGAGCGGCTTGGCTTTAAGAAGGGAGAAAAACAACTTTATTTTCACATGGGAATGACGGTACTGGCCAAGCAGAAAAAGCTCATGGCAGAAGGTCTTATCGCTCAGGTTTTCAGAAACAGGACAAGTGGGATCCCACCAAAGTCTGGCCTGCTCCTTCCGGGCCTTCCCTTCGTATATGCTTCCATCTGGTTGTAATCTTTTTGCTCCTTAGTGTTTAAGTACAAGGCATTTCCACAACTAAAACAGTGCAGGAAGAGATCACCAGACTTCTCAATGGGGAAATTCTCCCTCAGAGGGGGAGCAACTTCCCTAGGACACCCCAGAAGCCAGGCCCAGAGTTGGGGCTGGGCCTCAGGCTCCTGTCCGTCTGGTGCCTTCTGCTTGGCTGCGGGGTCCTCTGGTCCAGGTGGTGACGGGTCAGCTGTGTCCTTGCCTGTCCACAAGGACATCCCTGGGCTGTCACCTCATCCATACATCGGGGAAGATGATGGTCTCCCCCGTGAGAAGATGAAGCACAGGGATGGTAGTGGAGGAACTGGGGGGTGCAGGAGTTAGGGGCAGGTGTGCCCCCCCACACTTCCTGCCCAGTGCTGTGATTTCTGCATTTCTAAGGTGAGCCTGGCACCAAGAGACACCGGATCTAGAGTTCCATGAGGGTTCTGCCACTTCACTTCCTATCTCTGTGGCCACAGGTACACCTCATCCCTTCTAAGTCCATATTCTCTCCTCTCTGAAATGCTGGCACCAGGAGCACCGGCTCGGGTTGCAGTGAGGATGAGATGCCATCACAGGCACTGGTGCCTGGATGTGGCATGATGCGGCAGGTCCATTCACTGAATACTGGGGACCTACTAGGTGCCGGTGGGGAGAGGGTGACCTCGGGCCAGGCTGTCCTGGCAGAGCTGAGGAGCTGCTGCTCGGACAGCTGCTGGGAGACTGAGCGTGGTTCTGGACTCACGAGGAAGGAGGAAGAAAGAGGAGCAATGCAAAAGGGTGGCGGTGTTTTAATCAAGTCTCATTACAGAGGCAGAGTTAGGAATGAGTCGCACGTAGCTTCCATATGTCGGGGCAACCCCTCTCATACGGCCCTGCCGTAACACTCAGCCAGGGCGCGAACATGTGCAGCTCAGGGCAAGCAGCAGCAGGTGGGGCTCCGCACAGGAAACCCGGCCTGCCCAACACCGTCTGCTCGGAGCCCCTCCCAACTCTAACAGGCTCGAGTTGGGGCTCCCCCATATCAGGCACCCTCCTGCCCCACTGCTGAGGTCCCCAGCAGGACAGACCTATGTTGAAAACCTTCTTCTACCTGGCCGGCCAGAAAGACAGCAAAAAGAGATGATGACTCAGGGAATGATGGGCTGTTCAGAAATGGCTAGGAAACCACTTTCCCAACCGTCCTGGCTGGACCGGCCCTGGGCTACCGAGCTTCGCAAGGAAGTCCCAGAGGCTCTGGTGTCCTGAAGTCCCCAAATGGGAACCTAGGCTGAAAGAAGCGAGGCTGTGGCAGCATCCAGAGGGCGACCTCTGGTTCTGTTCCTAACAATGAGGGGTGGCCCCAGAGGCTCAGGCATGCTCAGTGGGGCCCGGGCCGCCGGCATGGGAATGGGCAGGGGCTGCCGCCTGCAGGGGGCCAGCACTGGGCTCCGGGGACGCCAGCAGAGGGGCCGAGAGGCCATCAGCAGAGTCTGTGTCGAGGTCCAGCCTCCCGTAAGCTTCGCACAGAGGCAGGTCATTAGCTTCGCAAAGGCTTGAGCTTTTCCACCACCAGAAACCCCAGGGAGACAGGAGCAGGCAGAGAGGAAAGCCAGGGGAGGGGAAAGCAAGACAGAAGCAGAGTTAAGAAAACGCGACCACACCCAGCCCTGCCTTTCCCTTTTTCTACTCCTGCTCCAGCTGGCCCGAGTCGGCAGGCCTGGCAGAGAGAGGGGCCGGTGGTGAGAGCCACCCTAGCATCCTTAAAGGAAGAAGCCACCCTGGCCCAGCCACCAACAGCTGTGTGACCTCAGCAGGCTCTTCCTGTCCAGCCTCCACATGGGCCTGTCCTAACCCCTGCCTCCCAGCTGGTGCTGGGCCCCTCCTCTTGCAAGAAGCTGTCAGCCTGGCGGCCCTCCCTCCTCCCTGACTGCAGAAACCAGGCTCACTACACTGCAGAGAGCTCTGAGGGTGAACTCTGTCTTCTTTCTGAGTCTGTCCCTGTCTGACACAGCCTGAAGGGGGCGAAGTTGAGAACACAGGCCCTGGCACTTCCCTGTAGCTCTGTCAGCCAGGTTGCGTCCCTCAGACGTCCCCACCTCTAACATGGGGAATCCTCAGGGCGGCCAGGATGCAGATGAAGGGCACAGCTAGCCCTTCCCATGCCCGCAGCTGTGATGGTCCACGCCCCCCTCCTTCTAACCTGCAGGCAGGGGCCCTGGCTTTCCCACGTCCTGCCTCCCTTGCTCCTGCCCTTGTTCAGTCTCAGAACCGTCCTGGGCACAGAGCAGCATCCGGAGGAGAGCGGAGGAGGAGAGGCAGAGCCAGAAAGAGAAATAACCAGCGGAGAGTGGGCAGGCGGGTGCGGAGGGGGGGCACATGCGGGGCGGGGCGGGGGCGCAGCGCCCTTTGGGGCACCAGCAGGCAGGGACCGAGGAAACTCTTCCCAGCCCTGGCTGCTTAAAGGCGATTTACAGAGGAGGGGCAGCTGCCTCTGCCACAGGAGCTGCGTGAGGCACCGGGGGCGCTGGTGTGGACAGGATGCCTGCGGGAGGGGACACAGGCCGGCCTGGAAGCCCCTCTGGATGAAGCCGAGGGACTGTTGGGGAGGGCGTGGGAAGCCTGGCACATCTGTCCTGGGTGTGCACCCTACTCTGCTGCAGGGCTGTGGGCAGGTCCCCTCCCTCCCCACCCCAGGGCAAGGCAGGCTGTATTTCGGCCTGACAGCTGCTCTGTCCAGGGGCCCTCGGGATAGTGGCTGCCCCAAGAGACAAAGCAAACAGTTGTGGAAGGAGACACCGGAAGGGTCTGACACACCCCAGGACCCCTCTCGGCCACCCTGCTGTGTAGGAACTGCTGTCTCCGGTCTGCTGAGTTAACAGTACTGGGGACCAAAGATTCTCCCCCCGGCGCCCTGGAAAACTCTAGAACTGCTGCAGCGGGGCAGCGCCACCGAGCGCAGGGCAGGGAAACCAAGCCCCAGCCACGCTGGCTCTAGACGTCTGTGGCTCCCAGCGTGGCCACTGGGCAGAAAGGGGCATTTTCAGTCCCCCACCAGGAAGGAAAGTTTTGTCCAGCGGCGGGCACAAGACGGACACGGACTCTGCGTCTGCTGGACTGAATCTCGAGTTTCTGAGCTAATGGGGGCAGAGAGGACGGCCTCCCTGTCTCAGCCTAAGATTCCCCCTAGGTAAAAACCTGTGGACTCTGATTTCTCAGACCCTGCCAGCTCAAAAGGTTTCAGGTTTCCGGCTTCTTAACGCGGCCCCAAGAGGGTCCAGATGATGGCTTTTGACCCTTTTGCATCCCTGGGGCCCGGCATGGGCCTGGCACGTAGGCTGGCTCCAGCTCTGTGGATAAGGCTGAGTGTGTCAGAAATTGGAACTCCAACAGCTTTCAAGGCCATTCCCTGCCTGGGCTTCGTCCCCCCCAGTCCCATGACTGTCCCTGCCTCCACACTGGGGTTTGGTGACATCCCCATGGAATTGCATCCCTGAAGCCCTGGACATAGGCGTGGACTCCAGTGCCCAGGAGGGGCTGGCCCAGCCTTGGCCAAAATCTCTGAATATGGATTCAGACGCTAACAGGCGCAGCGCTGGCCCAGAGGCACTGCCCGAGGAGGGAGGCTCTCAGGAAGACCCTGCAGGGGATGCCGGCCAGGCCCTCCCTTCTCCAGACTCGGCCTGTCCCACTGGCGTGAGTCCTGCGGCTTTCATCACACTGCACTGTGGGAAAGGCCCAGGGCCCCGGCAGATGCTGGTGAACCGTCTGTCGATGAAACGCTCTGGCCAGGAGCTCTGCTCTGAAACCCAGGCACGGCTCCACTGCCAAGAGCAGCAAGGATTTGAAAAAGCAGAAGGCCCTTGAGAGTCAGGCCGGCCTTGCCTGCGGGCCAGGCCCAGGTAGGCAGGCTCCCACTCTGCACGGGGTGTCCAGCACTATTTGTACCTGGACGAGTAATACTCCTCCTCCAGCTCGTAGAGGTCAATGGAGATCTCGTCCCGCAGCGTGATGAGCTTCCGGTCGCACTCCTCCTGCAGCGCGCGCAGCTGCTGGTTGCGCTGGTCGATGGCCTCGTTCACGGAGGGGAAGTCGTTGAGGATCAGGAACTGCTTGAGGTCGGACACCAGCTTCATCAGGGACTCACCGGCTCGGACCTGTGGCCATCAGAACCAGGGCGGGCACAGGGTGAGGGGGGACGGCGGCCCTGCCGCAGGTGGCTGATGCTGGGCAAGTGATGGCCTCTCTGGGAGCCTCTGCTTCACTGCAAAGTGGGACTCTATCCCTGACCTCCACAGGTTCACTTGTGAGAAGTGAGAAAACTGGGATGGCAGTTCCGGAGGCAGGCCCTCCCCTCCCATCAGCCTCTGGCTTCCACTCTCGCAGGACCGGCCTCCAGCCCAATGACGCAGGTGCACACTCCGCTCAGCAAGAACGCAAACCCCACAGATAAAACTGCAGTCCCTCTTGCCTCCTGCCCCGGGTAGGGGTATCACAGCCGCCAGCAGGGCAGGGCTCCTGGGGAACCTTTTCCCACGCATTTGCTGCCTCGGACGTGAGGCTGCAGGAGTATCTGCTGGCTGTGTTTCTCCTGCGGTCCGAGGGAATCCACTGGTGCCTACGGTTCCGTCTGGCTGTCTGCCTTTTCACTCCCAGCTCACCTTAGGAGCTCGTGAGTTAGCAGGCAGGGCTGCCCTCTTCCTGGCACCTGCACAGCCACAGGACGGCATGGCTGGCTCTCTGCCAACCTTCCTCCAGGTGCCCCACGTGCGGACCGTCTCCTGGGAAATGATTTGCCCCCACCTCATTCTTTAAAGCATCTCTACATTCGCCTCCTTCTGCTCCTTCTCGGGGGAAGAGCAGACCGGCCCCAGAGCCCCCGACCCTCCACCAGGAAACCCCAGCAGGGACTGATGCTCCTGGAGCCTGGGCGGTGCCCTCCCACCCTGGCCACTCACGATGTTGGCGGCGCGCACGTGCATCTCGTAATTGTCCTGTTCACCTTGAGTGGCCCGTGACACCTGCGTCTCGTCCTCAATCTGGGGGCAAACGAGAAAACCTAGAATCCACCCAGCCACGGTGTCCCAGCCCTGGCTCGGCCCGGCCCAGCTGATGGTAACTGTCATCTCTGCCCTGGATGCCCACACTGGCCACGACCTGTCTGTGGTGCCTTCTACAGACCTGAGCGCTGGCCGCCAAACCCCTGGATAGTTCAATTCCACCCTCTCTTGTTCTGGCCGTGGGAGACAACAGGCGCCCTGCTCATGACAGACGGAGGCCGACCCTCGCCGCTTGCCATGCTCGGTGCAGGGTGGGGGTCTTAGCTGGGTCGGGTCTTTCTGGGCCGTGGGAGCTCTGTTTGGTAGGAACTGTCCTCACTTGCTTGGTATTTGGTAAACCGTTAGATGGATGAGTGAAGGGACGATGTATTCTTTCTTTCAGCGACCATTTCCTGATCACTTCCCAAGTGCCAGCACTGTGTCACACATTTGACCACCATTAGCCCACGACATTCTCACAGAAGCCTGGCCTGCCACCCCTGGTTAATAGGTGGGCAGGCGAGGCTGGGACACCCGGTGCAGTCAAGGAGTCTCCGACAGTGAACAGAGGGACCAGGAGCCCAGCCAGTGCATTCGGCTAACCTGAACGGGGATTTCCAGTGGGCCTTTCGAGGGCTCAGCTCAGGGTGGGTGTCAGGTACCCTCAGTAGTTAAGAGCCACACTTCGTGGGTTCAAATCTGGCTCAGCCAGCTATTAGCCGAGTGAGCTTGGGCAAGTCACTAAGTCTCTGAGGCCTGGGTTTCCTCCTAAAATGGAGAGGACAATGGTGGCCACCTCTGAGTCCCCATGAAGATTCAGTGGAACGGGCACTGACAGCCGCACAACGTGGCTTGACACATGACGAGCACAAAGTACATGCTGGCTTCCAGGCTGACATCACTGCTTACTGAGCCTGCCAGGCCTGCACAGCCAGAAGGGATACAGCCCAATCTGGTGCAGCTGCAGCCATCAGCAGGCTTGCAGGCCCAGTGCTGCCCCAGGGGCCTGCCTGTCTCCTGTTCACTGGCTCTGTGCCAAGCCCCGAGGTAATTGTTTAACACAGGTAAACGCAACAATGCAGGACCCCACCATGCAGGAGAAACTGAGGCACTAAAAAGTGAAATGTCCAAACCCACATGGACGCGGGGCCCCGGCAGTCCAGCAAGAGTCCCCCGCACTGCTTCGCAGGATGTGCTGTTACTTGGTTGACTTATCTGCTGCTGGCCCGCGCCCTGTGCGCTCGGTGTTTCCTGCCTGGAACACCATTCACTCACACTGCTCAGTCCCTGGCCTCTCCTGTCTGCACCCCTCCCCAGACCCTGCTTCCCTTTGTGACCCCCATTCCCCCGGCCCACCTTGGCGGTCTTGATGATCTCGGTGAAGTTGTCCATGACGGACTTGATGTCATCCTTCAGCCGCTTGTTGTAAGACTGCAGCAGTGTCTCCTTGCTCTGGGGCAGGGCTCTCTGCTGGGCCATGGCAGAGCCTCAGGCGGCGCAGGGGCGGTGACCTGGACCTAGAGTGCAGGACAGACCCCTGAGTGCAGGCAGAGCCCTCGGCCACCCACTATGCCCCCAGCTTAGCAGAACACCCAGATTTCCGGGGATCCCCTTTCTGCCAAATAAAGTCAATCACTGAAACACAGATGAACTCATTCCATCAGCAGGCACTGCAGTGGGTGCCAGGACTCTCCTCGGCCCCGCCTCTGCCAGAGCAAGCAAGCTCATCCTAGAACTCCTGGCCAGCCCTCCAAGCCCTGTCTAGGGCTCCAGTCCATCCTTCACGTCCAGGCCCACAGCGTGCCCCATGAAGGCCTGCAAGCCCACCTCCAGCTCCCTGGCACTGGCCCTGGCCGAACTTCTTAGCCCGCTGCCGCCCTCGCCGCGCCCTCCCATCTGAGGAGTCCTTCCAGTCCCACCCCTCTGCACCGCCTGCGTCCACTCATTCCACTCCCACTCCGGCTCCTGACCTCATCTCTGCACTGCGCCCAGCTCCCTCCGGTTTCCGCGCGGCAGGGAAGAGTTCCTAAAAAGTGGTCATTCTGGCCGGGCCCGCGGTGGCTCACGCCTGTAATCCTAGCACTTTGGGAGGTCGAGGCGGGCCGATCACCTGAGAGGTCAGAAGTTCGAGACCAGCCTGACCGACATGGTGAAACCCCGTCTGTACCAAAAATACGAAAAGTAGCTGGGCGTAGTGGCGCGCGTATGGAATCCCAGCTACTCGGGAGACTGAGACAAGAGAGTCGCTTGAACCCGGGAGGCGGAGGCTGCAGAGACGAGGTCGCGCCGCTGCACTCCAGCCTGGGTGACAGGGCGAGACTCTTGCCTCTAAAAGAAAAAGTGGTCATTCCACTCCTTCGCTTAACAGCCCTCACGGCTCCTCTGGACGCCGGGACGCGTGCCTCTCGGCCTCTGCCCTGCAGCCGCACTGGGCGGCCTCGGCGCTGGCCCTGCTGGCCCTGGGGCCGGGTCTTTGCGCACGGTGCTCGGGGAGGGCCTGGGGCACCCTGGGTTCGGGGCCTGGCGCGAGGCCCAGCGGACTCCTGGGCGCACTCCCGTTCTTCGAGCCCATATTTGGGGGGATGGGGGAAATAAGTCACGCGTAGTAAAGTAGATCCTGACCCCAGCCCCCACGGCCCACCCACCCACCTCCGTCCCCAGCCGCCACCACACCCTCACCCCCAACCCAGCGCCCACGCACCAGACGCCGCGTCCGCGGGGTCGGCCCGGGGCGGGGTGGACACGTGCCTCCGGAACCCGCACTTTCCCGTGCCTCTCCCCAGGCCGGGCCCGCCCGCCGCAGTCTCTCGGCCGAGATGGAGTCTTCCCGGTCGCTCCGCAGTCCGAAAACCGAGTCCGCCGCCGTAGCTTCGCCGCCGCGCGTGGCTTTTTAGGTTTATAGGTGTCCTGTTGCTTTAAATCTGAAATCCCGCGCCGGCATCAACTCTCGCGATCCTCCCCGCGGCATACGTATTCCCCAGAATTCCCTTTCCTTTCTCTGTCTTCCCGCCGACCAAGATGGTGAGTGAGGTCTCCTTCTGCGACACGGTAGCCGGGTTCCGACTTTATCCGCTGCCATCCTCCTCTAGGCGCGGCCTCACAGGGCCTCCTGCTCCGCCTAGCTCTAGGAGAGCCGTACCGGTGTGGCACGGAGACATTGAGACGGACTAAAGCCCCGGGCAGCCGGAAGCGGGATGCGTGGGTCCCGATGCCGCTGGGCTGGAGGAGGAGGGCCGGGAGCGCCCGGGTGCGGGGCTCGGACGGGGCGGAGGCGCTCGGAAAACTACGGAGCGGCGTCTGGTTTTTCTGAGGGCCGCCGCAGAGGCTTTGACCAACGAGTTCCGAGCCGCACCTGCTGCTCCTGGAGCTGGCGGGGCCGCGGCTCAGGCGCCCCGAGTCCCGTCCGGGACGTCTCCTGGGTGGGCGACGCGAAGAGCGTGGCGTCGGCCTTAGCCGGGCTCCGGCCACTCGGGGTTCCGTGGGCTGCGTGCTGGTGCGGCTGTTGGGAGACGCTCCTGCCGCGGCATGGCGAGGACGTTCCCGGCAGCCAAGGCCGCAGCTGCACAGGCTGGGGTGGCCCTGGGGGGCTTCGGGACGCAGCTCGCCGGCTGGTTGGGACAGGGGCCGTCGGCGCCCCTTGTTTTGAAGGAGCCAACCTGAGACCTCCCGGCGAAGGAGGCGGCGGTTTCACCGGGATTTTCTTTCTGTCCAGCCAAAAGGAGAGAAGGCCAAGAGGAAGAAGATGGCTCCGGGCCCTGCTGTTGTGAAGAAGCAGGAGGCCGAGAAAGTGGCGAATCCCCTGTTTGAGCCCAGGCCGAAGAATTTCGGCATTGGTGAGTAACAAACGGCAGGATGAAAACGGTCTTTTTCCCAAGGAAAAGTGGTAATGGGGTTGAGTCGGATCTTGCAGGTTTTAGGGGGTGTGAAGTGGTGTCAGTCCTCAACTTGTGTCCCTTAGAGACGGGCAGTGATGGTGCCTATCTCTTGCTTTCGTTGGGAGTTTCTGAGTGAGCGTTCGGCTGAATAGGGTAGGGGCCTTGGATTCAGCTTGGCCATCCGAAAACAAGTTGAATAGTGTTGTCCCAGCGAGGCCCTCGGACTGCAATTCTACTGTAGTTGGTGGCACCTTGGCTTCTTGTTAGGAAGGGCATCGTGCTCTCGCTGGCGTTCTCAAGTGTTTGTGTGCAGATGATGTAAAAGAATATTTGCTATCTGAAGATGGTGATGACATTTTAAACCACCAAGATCTCTGATGCACCAACACCCTTCTGAGTGGCCCCAGACATGAACTTGACACGGAATTTGAGCCTCACTCAGTCGATGTCGCCCTTTATTTCTCAGGAGGGGACATGCAACCGAAAAGAGACCTCACCCGCTTTGTTAAATGGCCCCGCTGTCAGGTTGCAGCGGCAGAGAGGCACCCTGTACAAGCGGCTGAAAGTGCCTCCTGCCATCAACCAGTTCACCCAGGCCCTGGACCGCCAAACAGGTGAGGTTGTGTGGCCTGGAAAGGAGTTTCTCAGGCAAAGACGAGACTCTTGACAGTTTTATATCTCAGGCTTCTGGGGGTGGGGGGTGGGGGGTGGGGTGGGCTTTTGAGGTTGATGAGTTTGTTAAAATCAATGATGACTTACTTCATCCAGAACAGGAGGGTGAGTGGCCTTCAGTCTCTTGAACTGCAGTTGTCATTAGAGTCCTTATATACCGGGACAGCAATCTAGCATTTATATAAGTGATACGGAGTAGAACCTTGACTACAAGCCTAAACTGAAGAGTGTTTTCCCAGCTATTGAGCTGTTAAAGCTGGCCCAGAAGTATAGGCCCGAGAGACGGCAAGAAAAGCAGCAGAGGCTGTTGGCCCGTGCCGAGAAGAAAGCTGCTGGCAAAGGGGACGTCCCCACCAAGAGACCACCTGTACTTCGATCGGGTGAGTGGGCCCCACCTTAGGGTGAACACTGGGGGCCAGCTGTTGCAGTGATGTAGAATTTCTTCACCTGAAATGACTGAAGAGTAAAAGCGAGCTTTTTAACACTGAGTCAGCAGCTGGGCCCAGCAGCTTCTTGTGACCAGAGCAGGCCCCGTGAATGCTCACAGTGATTGTGTGTTCTAGGAATCAACACAGTCACTGCGTTGGTTGAACAGAAGAAAGCCCAGCTGGTGGTGATTGCACACGACACGGATCCCATCGAGGTGTGTTTGCCTGTTGACTGCTAATCCAAGGGCTTCTGTCAGTACCGGGAAGAGAGTAGGCCTAATGACGAGTCAGTGATGAGACCAAAGTGGGTGGGTGAGGACAGTACTGCCAAGGGATCCAGCTCAATGCGTCGCTCTTGCGGTGATGCGAATCTCTCACTGAATTTAACCTTGAAGTGGAAATCCATGAGCTTTTTCACCCTGAGCAGTTGCTGCCGAGCTAGCTTTGAGATGCACTGCTTTTGGTCCAAATACACGCTTCAGCTAATGCTTTCTTCCAGCTGGTGGTCTTCTTGCCTGCCCTGTGTCAGAAAATGGGAGTCCCTTATTGCGTCATCAGGGGGAAGGCAAGACTGGGACGTCTAGTCCACAGGAAGACGTGCACCACTGTTGCATTCACGCAAGTTAATGAGTGAGTACACAGCCTGGCCGCAGACTTCCCCAGTGCATTTAATGCATGCGTCCCAGTTGTTTTCCTTAAAGGCCAATCTTTTCATTTAAGAAATAGATCTATCTGAACTTTTGCCAATGATGGGTAAGAATTTCTTCACCTGAATAAACCATGTGGTCACATTGCATCTGAAGTAAAAGACTGTCTTGAGCTAAAGATGAAGACATGCATTCTAAAAGGGAAACTGAGAGGCCAAAAACCCACTTTTGTTTTCCCTCCTGCCGTGTTAGGGAAGACAGAGGTGCCTTGGCCAAGGTGGTGGAAGCTGTCAGGACAAACAGTGACAGATATGAGGAGGTAAGAGCAGCTTCACACACAGTACTGTCACGTGCTAATCGTTTCCGAAACAAGTGGCTGGCTTAACGTATGAGCAGTTGTTTGTGGCGATCAGCTTGGAACAGCCCCACAGAACGACGCAATAACCTTGAAAAACTCAGAAAACAAGAGGCTAAACTGACTCCCTCTTTTTGTCTTTTCAGATACGCCGACACTGGGGAGACAAAGTCCTGGGTCCCAAGTCTGTGGCTTACATGGCCAGGCCTGGAAAAAGCAAAGGCCAAAGAACTTGAAAGTGATTCGGGGTGAAATGTACAGTTTGCTGTAAATAAAAATAATTTAAACGATACAAATGTTTCCTTCAGCCAGTGTCTATTGGTATCTTGGGTTGAATCATACTTGGGGTTAGCAACTATCTTTTTTTTTTTTTTTTTTTGAAACGTAGGACCCTCACTGTCTTCCAGGCTGGAGTGCAGAGGTGTGATGTCAGCAACCTTTGCCTCCCAGGTTCAAGATACTCCCTGAGTGGCTGGAATTGCAGGCCCACACCTGGCTGAGTTTTGTGTTTTGGGTAGAGGCGGGGTTTTGTAATGTTAGGCTGGTCTCGGCTCTTGACCTCAAGTGAGCTGCTGCACCCAGCCCTTCTTTCTCACCCTTATACATTCTTAAATGAGGCATTTTGTTCCTTAGACACGTAGTTTTCATGTTAAGTTTTGGGAAAGTTCTTTGAACTGAATGAAACAAAGTCAGGATTTTATGATCAACCAGTCATGCATGAGCTCGTGCAAGGTAGAAGGCCCAGAACTTTTATTTATCTCAAGAGCACATGATCCAGCATAAAGGTGCTTTTCAAATACGTCATTATTCAGCGATAGGGCTTTAGCAGCTGGTCTCACACACCAGGTGTTCCACGTACAAATTTCTTAATCCATAGGTATGATGTAGCTGCAGAGAGTCCATACCTGGGGTTGAAAGCAATCCAGTGTTAATGCGCTGCTGGGCTGAAGTGGAGGGAGCCGGAGGGCCACCGGGGACTCACCAGGTGACGAGGTACTGCAGATGCTCATTCCTCAGAGTGACTCTGGTTTGCCCTCCAATGGGTCCTCCGGGGACTGTGCTTTCTGCAAAGACAGTTGACTCAAATCCACCCTCTGCTGTCTGCCAGCCAGCCTCTGCACTACTTCCTAGTGGCTGCCATTTTAATTGGAAATCCTGAGTGGCCTTTACGTTGGCCTTGACCCCTCAGTACTTGCCTAGCTAGGTTCCCTTTGCTGAGTTGCCACGTCCCCCATAACGCACGTGCGAGAATGGATGCCACAGCAGGGACTGGATAATGAGGGTTAGGAGCAGGAAGGACAGTCCACAAAAGCTACTTGTGGGGTCAGCTGGTCACAACATACTGAAGTCGGCATCAATGAAGATGGGCTCTGCGCCTGTGATTCTGGCCATAGCCTCCAAGTCCCGGTAATACCAGTGGTTCCTTTCTGGATTGTTCTCGGGGACAAAAGGCTTCCTGGTTTCTGTCAGCCTCACCGTCCCAACGAGGTCCACTTCTCCCTCAATCTATAAAGGAAGGTGAGAGACCATGGACCTGGCTGGCTCCCAGAGCCTTCCCTAAAGTAGGAAGGGTCCATGTCCCTTACCTGGCCTTTCTGCCGGGTGTCAGGATTTACTTTCTTCCTGGGAACGAACCCTCTATTTACCAGGATGGTGATTCTAGGGTAACGAAAGTGCTGTTTAGGTGGGGAGGGTTTCTGAATAAAAGTCGTCACTCATGGTTACTCAGGCACCCATAGGAACAACTATAGCAGCAAGGAAGGCTTTTAAAAGAGGACTGGCTCAGTGGAGCCCTGGCAGTGCCACAGACAGTCTTCCTCTTGAGGTCCTTTGGTTGGTAAAAGCTTCCCTGCCACCTCACTACTTTCTACCAGTGTGGCTTTCCCCTCCATCTCTGCTTCTTTCCTTGTGCTCTCCCACTGCAACGTGCAACTAGTGACCAACACTGCCATGCCAGAGTTGAGACCCCACACCTCTCCCCTGAACTAGCAATGGCTGCCTCCAATGACGCCCTGGCACTCTAGCCTGCTGGAGACAGCATTTTGGACCGAACCATGCCGGGCCTAAAACCGGAACCCATGGGCTAACAAGAGCCCCAGGTATTTTCATTTGTACATTAATCCTCCAGTTCCTCAGTGAATCACACAGGTGCTCCTGTACCTGTCATTTGCTTTGCCTGGAATGTTCTTCCCATCTCTTAACTCCCAAATGGCCTCCTAGGGAGCCATTCCTGATTCCACTCCCTCAAGGTGGGGCTGGGATCCCTTCTCGTGAGTTCCTCTCGTTGACCCCCCCTCATACCCTGCCATCATCTAATGTGTGGGCCACTAGAGAGTTTCTCCAGAGAAGGGGCCCCCGTTTCATGAATCCCTCCTTCCCCTTCAGAGGTCAACACACAGAAATTGTTCAGTCATAAATGAGCTGGCTGAGTGGGTCAATGTCACAATTAAGGATTTTAACAACCACGCAAGGAATTGAATCTTCTGGGTATCTTGGGTTTCCCGGGGTCTTACCCAGGTTAGGGACTGTGTAGGAAATAGTGATGTAAATTAGTATACCCTGACTGGCTCTGCCAGGACAGCCAGCTCCCACATGCCCTACTCACCCCAGGTCCGCACAGTGGAAGGGAGTGACCACACAGGCCCCAGTCTCAGCTGAGGAGGAGATGCGGCCGGCCTCCCGGGCAGGGTCCACCATAGTCCGGGGCATCATATACAGCTCCTTGGAGTGGTCAAAGCATCCCCTGACTTTCACTGGCCTATACTCCAGATTTTTCAGTTCCACTGGGCTGCATGGAGACAAGAACAGTGCCCGAGCAAAGTCTGGCCGGAAAACGAATCCGCTAATGAGGGTGGCAGACTACACAGCCCACCAGGGCCAGACAAGGAAAGGAGAAAGGTAAAGGGCTTCCTCGCCAAAGGGAAACCGGCCCTTTGATGCCACGTGGGAGTGTGAATCTGCACTCCCAGGGTCCAACTTTACAAGAGAAGCTAAGAATCTGGGCTCCTCAATGCATACTTCACGTGAAATTTTTAAAACATGTGGGCCAAAACCTCATCCACAAGCCAAATCTGGCATCCCGTCTGCTACGCTGAATGGAACATTTACTTGGATATACCTGTCTCTGAGGGTATATTCTAGGGAGAGAGCAGTCAAATCATTTAGGGCACTCTTTCAAAAGACTGCCCTCACGGTGAGACCTACAGGGCCTTGGGCCCTGTGGAGGATAAGTTCACTACACCTGAAGAGTGACACGCAGGACCCCAAATAAGACTTTCCTCCCTATGTCAGGAGGCGGCCTCAGGTAGCTTCACAAGGGCAGTCAGGTGTCAACAACAAGCCCAACAGGATGACTGATATTGACAGCGCTCATCCGAGGTGAAGGAAGTGACTAAGTCCTGCCAAGATGGGGAGGCCGCCCAGCAGAAGCCAGGGCTCCGCTGTTGAACTCAAGCGAGATCGGCCCTCGGGGCGCAACCACACACTTACTCTGCGGGCAGAGGGACGGGCTCGGCCAGAACTCTGGACTCCAACTCTGCAATCAGGTTCAGCTTCCACTTCCGACGCTGGACCTACAGTGACAG